CGTGTTTCTGTCCCGTCCCCTGGCTCGGTGCGGGGGGTTGCGTCGCCCCCCCCCCGGCGCCCGACTCAGTGCGGGGGAGCGCGGCTGCGGCGTCTGCCCCGTCACAGTTCCACAGAAAGATCTCAGAGGGAGAAGTGAAACTCCTCAGTGTTTTGTGAACTTTAGCTTTTTGAAATGTTGGTCTGTCTTTGTTTGGCTAAAAGGGAAGATAAGACAATTCATGATCACAAGTGGTTCTATCCTCCATTTCCAAAGGGTTTCTATTGGTTAGTCTCCTGCCTCAGATTCACAGATTGGGACAAGGTAGTAGTTACCAGTGGAGATGAATAACTTGGCCTAAATTCCTGAAAATTGTTTCTTAAATAGTTCTTGTAAAATGACTGAGGAGACACTGATAGCCTTCGGTGTTTAGCTAGATATGAGTGGTTTTTTTTGTTTTTTTTCATTTAATGGTGAACAACCATTACATTATTGCTAATTTAAAGGAGATGATTAGGATATAACAGAACTTTTGGATAACACTATGGCTGCGTCTAGATTGGCATGATTTTCCAGAAATGCTTTTAACGGAATATTTTTCCGTTAAACGCATTTTCGGAACAGAGCATCTAGATTGGCACAGACATTTTTCTGCAAAAGCACTTTTTGCGGAAAAGCATCTGTGCCAATCTAGACGCGCTTTTCCGCAAAAAAGCCCTGATCGCCATTTTCGCGATCGGGGCTTTTTTGTGGAAAACAAATCTGAGCTGTATACAGTGGCCCTTTTGCGCAAAAGCTTTGCCAAAAGGGACTTTTGCCTGAATGGGAGCAGAATAGTATTTCCGCAAGAAGCACTGATTTCTTACAATAGGAAGTCAGTGCTTTTGCAGAAATTCAAGCAGCCAGTGTAAAGAGCTGGCAAGTTTTTCCGGAAAAGCGGCTGGTTTTCTGGAAAAACTGGCCAGACTAGACACAGCCTATGTGTGTCCAACTTCAAAACATTGACTATAGAGATGTGTGGATCATAAAGAATTAAACTGAAAGCTTGTATCAAAAAATAACCAAAATGTTGTTTATTAGCCAAAAAAAAAAAGTATCGTGACATGTTGTACTGCATCAAAAAATCATTAATTGCATAACAAACAGATTGATATTCAATATATATAAATTATGAGATTCAAGAAAACAGGTTGACAGCACCACAAGTGGTTTATTCAAATCATATCAGAAGGTCTTCACATGGGTGTGGGGGAGGAGGTACAATGTACAGTAAAATAACTGAAGAATATCAGAACAATAGACGCACGCAGTCAGCAAAATGCAGTCATACATAAGCCTGTCTCAACATTATTATTTCTAAGGAACAGAAATATATAATTTCCTCAGCCTCATCAAGTTAAAGCAATTGTACAAGTATAGAGAACTGTAACATCGCATCTTGTCTCTGTTTATACAGCACCATAATACACAAGAGAAAATTATCTTCCAAGGTTTCATTTGTACTAACCTCGGTACATTAAAAAAATACAGTAAGATTTATAATTCATTAATAAGCAAACTGCAGAAGCTGAGACTACGTGGGTGCTACATATCTGAATGAAATACCACCCACATTTATCATCAACAGATATAAAACATAGTTGACAACTGTGAATAAAATGATTAAGTCACAAATCCAGAGCTTCAACACTTTCATTTTAAGTGTGCGTCTAACAGATCGGATATTGACAATCAAAGTGAGGTGAAGGAACATCCCAAATTTTGCAGGCTTTTTAATTTTCCATAAGCAGCTCCCCATTGTGAAGTTTTGTCATAATTAATCTGCAGGGGATGGTCCCTGTATTTATTTTGTGAACACTGCACAGGAGGAATCCCAAGTTTTACTATTACACAGTGTGTGAAGTCAGGTGGATCTACTGCCACTTTCCATAAACATATGCGTAACATTCCCATTTCACACAATGATATATCTGGTGTTAGGCACTAACCAACTCAGTGCTGTTCAGAACACAAGGCAGACAGTACTTGCCATGCAGAGCTTATAGTTAAATGATCAGTGGTGGGAGCAGTCTGCATGCATCATATGGAGAAAAGGCAGGCCCCCTGTAAACATTTAAGTGGAATAATTAGATCTCACCTCTACTCCGAAATTGCACATTACATACTATATTTACACACACTATCAAGTTGCTGTTGAATCTGTGGGAAAACAGACAAACATCTGCCAAATGCCTACTAGACCTAGAAGAATAATATCAGATCTTAGACAGCTGAAAAATATTGGGGGGTTTTAGGCATGTCTGTGTGACTTTGGTATGAGTATGTAGTGGTAAGCCAAGTGCCTGAACTACCAGGCATGAGCAGCGGTGTTAGAAGCATGTTGCAGACATAAGATATGGTAGAATGCATCAAGTGATTGAGCAAACTGTGGGCCTCTAAAACTGATTTAAGCATTGTAGCTTAGTGGCTAGTGAACAGTCCCTAGACTCTGGAGACCCAAGGTTCTTCCTGGCTCTGTCAATGGGTCATATTGGGCAAGTCAGTTCCCTTCTCTGTACCCCAGTTCCCCCTTTTATAAAAATGGATAATGAATCTGGCCTCCTTTATGAGGATTCTTTACTGAAACATCTATTAATAATTTGTAAACTGTTTACAAATGGAACCTTATACAGTGTGAGTGGAAATATTAAGCACCAGAGTTGCTGTTGCTCCACTGCAGTCAAAGCAAGTTTTCGATTTCCCCCCCCCCACCTCCATTAAATATATATATAGTGTTAACTTTTTGAAAAATGAAGACACGTGTTGTTCTGTGGGTTTTTAAATAATGTGGGAAACCTAAAACCCTAAAGTTTGCAGAGACTGTCAGCTGCTTTATTTCCAGTTTGCACAGAGCTGGAACTCAAAGTTTGGAAGCTGAGCGTGTGTTCCAGACATCATACAGTTTAAGTGCACCTAGGAGTGATTGATAAGTTTGGAGATCACAGATAAGGCAATGGTTTCATAAATAAAAGGCATGGGGTGCTTATGGACAAATGATTTCCAGTGCACCTCCAGACACATGATTTCTAGTACATCATGCAGTAGAGCAATTATTCCATCAGTACCATATCTGACAATGTGAGGAGAGAAAAGTTTTCGTATTTCATCAAAATCAAATATGAGTTGGGAATAATGCTAAGAGATTCATTAATGTTTGTTCTGCACCATGAAAATGTAGCACACTACAATACAAAAGTGCTAAAGATCATTGTAGGCAACGGTTAGAACGATTCAACTGCTTATCCTTATCAATGGTTCTCAACACTACGATTTGCCCCCCATATACAGTAACTGGGATTTAGCTGAGACTCCAGCCCATTTAACAATATGGAAAGGGCATTGTGACCTACCAACAACTGTCTGCAACCCCAGAGTTGACAACTCCCTTGTCTAGTTGGCTCCAAATAGTTCTTTACATTGGTTTTTGTGGAGTCTCCTCAATGAAAGCTGTTTCAGTCTTATAACATAGAATAGAGGAATATGCTGCTGCTGCTGCTACTGACTAGTTGATCAGACAGATGACTTTGGGTTCCAAATGTCACTGAGTTGAAAGGAGATAATGGGACTGGCAGTTCAAAGAGTCAGAGAGAAATAAGTGGGAGTCTTGCCATTGATTTCAATGGGGCCAGGATTTCACCCTGAATCTCTAAAAAGGAGCATAGACGATTTATACTCAATCGCGAGTGACAATCACTCCAGTGCAGAAGGTGCGGAGCACAACTTAATTCCCTTTTAACATGGGGTGTAAGTGATATACACTGCTATGTGTGGGTGCTCTGCATGGGGTGATTTTCTCAAACAGCATTTCACTTTTATGCAGATCATCCATTGAGAAGATACTGGCATTAGCTTCAGAACTGGCTGTGTGTGCCTGCACTCTTGAACAAAACTGTCACGTTCTGCATATGTCACCCAGCATAAAGGAAGAACAAAGGAAAGCAGTTTAGAGTGGATTTGAATAGATTCCAGCTCTCATATGATATCTTTTCTAAACACTGTGTCTGATATAAGGATGCTGCACTGCACCATTCATCTTCCAGCATTATTAAGCCCCATTAGATTGAACTGTTCTTATTAGAATCACTCGAGTTTGCCTAAATATTTGGCTCCCAGGAATGCTGGGAGGAAAGTGGTGTAGTAGAGATACCACATGAAAATTTCAATAGTTTCTGCCTTGAGTGTCTCAATGCAGTTTTGCTTTGAATGAGGTAGCTCAGTTGTGAGTTGAAGCATGGGAGGATGCATTGCTGCCCACCACTCAAAGCTATATTCTTCCCTTTTCCACAAGATTATAAAAATACCAGGAACATTTTTAATTATTATTATTATTATTATTTTTACAATTTATAAAAAGCTTTTACAAAAAAAGTGCACACTCAAACTTCTGTTCCATCATGTAAATTGTTGTGAACTTTGACTTCTAAGTTCACTTGTTTGACCGTAACACCTTTGACTTTGTAGGCACCCTCACTGTCACCTAATATATTGATATTCCTCACAGTGCAGTATTGTCTGTTTACATTCTTTTCCGCCCTTTCTGTGTTTTTCTTGGGTAATTCTATCTTGGTGTTGAGAGGATACTCCTCCATGACATCTTTGGCAAGCTTCTTCTTCTTCTTCTGCTTTCGACATTTCCTGGTTATGAAGCAAACTAATAGGAGCACAAGCAGCAACAGCATGATGGCAGCAAATGCACTTCCTATGGAAGCTCCTGTTTGTGACAAGGAAGCAGCCACCACTGCTTCCTGAACCTCCAGGCTCAGTGATTTCATGTTGGTGCCATTCTTGACTTGGTCGCCCTCATTGTCATAGATCAAGGAGTCATCCAGAATCAGCCTGCCGTTGTTGTCCACCAGGTCCCTGCGGCTGCGCTTCAGGTGGTGAGTGAGAGAACGTTGAACACGGGGCCCTGCAATGGTTTCTGGGCCAATTATATAGATCACCTGAAGGTACCACTGGTGTCCAGCTTCCACCTTTATAACACAGAACATACAGACAAGAGACTTTATCCTGGAACTTTAGCTGAAGTGATACTAGAATTCTGTTCAAAGCACACAGAAGTGGGCAAGTGCTACTGTAAGACAGGGACAAATATGTATTCTAGGTCCCTCTCTGTGCTGATTCACAGATGGTATGGGCCTGTTACAGTCCTTATGGGGTTTTAACTCTAGAGCAGTGTTTCCCAAACTATGGGCCGCGGGAAAAAAATACCGGGCCTCAGTGTGGCTGCTGGTAGGGGAGCAGAGCGGGGCGGGCCGGGAGGAGGTGGCGGCGGGGGGAAGGGAGAACTGGCCGCCAGGAAGAAGGGTTGGGGCAGCGGGACTGTCCCACGAAGATCCGGGTGGGCAGGTCAGCAGGATGGCCTGGGAGTCGTGGG